ATTAGTTGATTTCAGCAAAAACGTTGGTTTCCAGAATAGATCATTTGAACTCTGTGAACTACAAAACATGTATCTCCTTAGAAAACTGGGTTTCAAAATTTGATTGAAACATATCATATTTAGGTATATTTACACTTGTAAACAAAAGTAATCTATGTGAATAGATTTTTTAAAAACATATGTTAATGGTTATTGTTGTTGATGAATGTTGGTGTGTTGGTTCTATGTTGTTGTTTCAGAAAATTTCAAATTGTATTTTATCTATAATAATCTTAATAGTACTTATCAGACAATCGAGTAATATAATAATCAAATAAGTATTTGTGAGTCACTTAATCATAATTTATTAGTAAGTAAAATTAACATTCCTAGTAAACTTATCATAAACAGATAGATGGCATTGATTTCATGAATATGATTACTATTTTTAATAATAAAAAATAAGAATGTATGTATTACTATAAAATGGGAACCCCTCGTAGGTATGTTAGTAAATACTTTTATCATTATTTCTAATAATTTGTTTTCATCTTAATATTTTTCTTCTTTTTTTTCTTTCAACAGTTACAAAATTTTCATTGAATATATTTAACCATGTATTATAACTTCTAACAATGAGAGATAGTATAATTTGGCATTTAAGCATAGTTTTTACTATATCAGTGAGTCATCATTTACGATTAATATTTTAGTGTGTTATTTTCAATAATGATGATCCTATTCAACCGACACATTAAACGAATATATATTTTAATTATCATTTAAGGATAGTTAAAATACAAAAATAAAATAAAAAAAGCCTTATGAACTCTATACATTAATCCACCAGCTCTGCAGGAATCTCATCCTCTACTGGGGCTTTGTAATTTTTTAAGAATGCAAGAACTTCTGTTCCCTCTTCCTTCTCTGGAGGTTCTATAATATCTGCATTTATACGTGTCGATCATTTGATCTCTGTACCTAGGTGAGCTTGAAATGAGTACTTCAGACATTTCAAGGATTAGAAGTTTCTCGAAATATTGAAATCACCTATAAATATATGAAGACCTCTCGGGATGTTGTGGGGAAAGGAATGGTCAAAGAACTGGAGAATAGTTTTTTCAGCAGTTACAGGAGTTTAAATATCTTACGAGCCATATGTATGAGTTAAATATGAGAAGCCAATGTAAACGAAAATAATGACATACAGGCAGAAATAAAGTCACATATGATGGCCGGAAATATATACATTATTAGACCAGTGGTGACATATGGAAGTGAGACATGGGTCCTCACCAGGAAGTTAGAACAAGTGCTGAACGTGTGGGAGAGGAAAGTCCTCGGAAAGATTTTTGGCAACTTCAAAAATAAACGAACAAAAACAAAACAAACGTTCTGCAAGGACCGTAGTGCCATCGAAAGTAAGTAAGTAACTGTTTGTGATTATTGATACAAGAAAGAATGAAACGTTTTAGAACACTATTTGATATGGAAAGATGTCGGGGTTTGGAAAGGAGAATTCCATGATTTACTGAATCTTAACCTTTTGAAACATAAAACTTTACATTTAGTAGGCATGGTCACCAATTTGTTATGTTAGACTATTAAATGTTGTTGTAGAATCACAAAAACAATTCGTGAGTTCTATTTTCTTGTATATTCATAGAAATGAATTTGAAGATTACCCGACAAGTGCGAAGCAAAACTTGCTAATTACTTAGTGGAGACCGTCCGATGAATAAGACATTTTTATCTTTATGTATTTTTTATCATAATATAGTTTAGCGAGATTTCGTTTTTATAACGGTTTACAATAAATATTTCAAAAAATCTTTTTTTAAAAATAATAAACATATAAATTGACTCTATAATTAATATTCTTGAAGAAAAATAATAGAATCTGCCACAATTTAGTGCATTGAGCATTATGGCTCTACGCTTACATTCATATAAATTAAGAAAAAATAAAATAAGAAGACTACAAGTAGGTAAAAATATATTAATTAGAAGAAAAAAAAATGTAAAAAGTAAAAGAAAAAAGTTCATTGAAAGAATAGTAAACTGAGAAAAAAAAAATACTTGTCACACATTCATTCTTATGTACAATATTTACATTCAGCCAAGGGAATTCTGAACCATGGCTTGCCGCTCTTACTTGAAAGGAAAGCCAGGGCTCAAGGGGATCCCGGAGCTTCTCTCCCAGTCATATCGCTTTTTAAAAGTCATTGGAGACTGGGTAATTGTACTAAAGCCACATACGCTCAGGACTTGAGTTGAGAAGCTGACCAATGCCAGAACTCCAATAGAATATTTATAGAAGATCTCGGGGCCATTGCTGTTTCAACCATCGATGAGGATTGTAGGGATGGCTGGAGCTGGATAAGTATTGTGCTAAGGGGTTATGATGGTGTATAAGGTTCTGATGAAAATTTGAGAATCGGGATGGAATAACGTCTAGGATATAAGGAATGTTAAGGTCATGATGTAAAGTTTGTCTGTAAAGGAGCATTGACTATTGTACGAAGGACATTAGATTGGAATGATTGAATGCGTTTGGTTTTCGAAATTTAGCTGTCCACCATCTTTTAAGGCCGTAGGTACAGATGGATTTTAGAATGGTCTTATAGACTAGTAGTTTGTTTTCAACTGATAGGTGTGAGTTTCTGTTCAGTTGTCATTATGATTGTCCAAATCGTCGATTTATTTCTTGTCTTTTGAGTCTGGTATGAGGATTCCATGCCAGTCTCTTGTTTAAAAGGATGTCCAAGTACCGGACTGTGTCTGAGAAGGGAAGAGATATAGTGTTCAAAAATATTGGCGGACAGGATTTATGTTGGAGTGTGAAAGTGATATGCTTACACTTTGATTCATTTACTTTAATACGCCAATCCTTACACCACTGCTCAAGTAGGGAAAGATGAATTTGCAGGTTTGGGGATGCCATTGCAGATTCTGCGTGGGAAGAAAGAACTGCGGTATCATCAGTAAATGTTGCAAGGAAGGTGTTGGGATTTGAAGGGATGTCAGTTATGTAGAAGATGTAAAAAACTGGACCCAAGAAGCTGCCTTGTGGAACCAGCATCTATTGAATAATGGTTGAAAAGGTCTGTGCAGCATCGTACTTGAAAGGAATGGTTGGTATATTACATAGTTGAATAAGTGTAGTGCACATATTATCAGCGAATAGTAGAGTGAGATTGGTGGCGGAAGGAGAAAGGTACGCCACTATAATTGATAAATGGTGTGCAACGAAGAAGATGAAGATAGCGTAGGCGAAGACCCAGGCCATTCTGTTGAAGGGATCTACGGACAGGGCCCACCCTATTAGTCTCAGAGTAGGAGGAGGTCACCTACCCCTACCAAGGCGTGTGAGATTTAATCCGAACAAAATTCAACATCTTATAATTCCTTATTGAACCTTAAAAAAACACACAATATAATATAAACTGGCCATACAAGACAATAAAAGACAATAAAACTGGCTAATACTAATGATGAATTTACTTATTTCTATTGTTTTCAATACCAGTTAAAGGAAATGAAAATTATGAAAAAAGATATTAGATTTATAAGAAAATACATTTAACTTTAATTATCAAAGAAAGAATATAAAATTATTATAGAACAACTCATTAACTTAGACTATACAATAAACCAATTAAAAATATTTCTAAAACCAAATAGATAGGAAAAAAACTTATATGTAAATATTTACAATGTCACACTGGTTGAACCCTGTCCAATTGGCACATTGAGTTATCTGAGGAAGCGGGAACTTATTCGAGTTAGCGTCGTCAGAGTCTCCCCAGTCCACTTCTTCAACTTGTGAAAATGTTCATTCGCCAACTTGGAAAAATCACAGGTTCCTGGAGAGGAAAAGAAAAATCCGGCGTAAACCGTAATACTAAAGTATTTCACAAACAAAAATCCTTAGCTTGCCTCTTCAATCGCGAGGTTCCACCATGTATCTCAAAACTGTCTTTTGTTTTTCTCCCAATCATCTGTTATTTATTCCAATCCGAAATAAAATCAATACTTAAAACTAAGAATTATTATAAACTCATACTTATTATTAAAACTAATACTAATTACTTAATTTCATCTAGCCCTCTTCGAGGTAATGTTTTTTGCATTTTATATATCGTCACAATTTTTCTGTAGGTTTCTGTGGTGTCAGGCAATAATTTTGTGTCACAAAATTAATTTCAAAAGAATTATTTGATTATTAAATGATTATTGATTATTGATTATTATGATTGAATAATGATTTTATTAAATAATTTTAAAGCCTTACTTTAAATTTTTATTTTTTATGTTTTTTCATGTGTTTTAATAAGTGTTGTTTATTTTATTTCGTTACATTTTTTCATTTGTATTTTTGAATACGTACACTTGTAGTAGATAGTATTCTAAGAGAAGCAATATTCGCAAAATAAACTCAGATATAAAAAACGGTACTTTAAATGCCTAATGTTATTGTATAATAAATGATATATTAGCAAATTTTTTATTAGTATACCTTAGCCATTTGATATAGGCTAACTTACCCATCTACTCTTCCACTCAATTCCTGTTCCCCAGTTTTCCTCAAGACGGTATTCAGCAACTCATCTTCTTATTCTTGAATACTCATCTTCACCACCAAATATTTTTACCGTATATATTTATTAAATATTTAATTATAAATTAATAATTGATTAGAAATCGGACCTCGGTTAATCTCAAGGACACAAAAAATTAATAAAATACTTGACGAAATTTATTGCATTGTAAAGTTCACGTGATTTCGTTTCGTCCTTTTCAATTCTACCAACAGATATAATTTGTAAAACTTTTTCAATGTATTTTATATATTACGATTTGGTAAGTTTAGTGATGTTGGTGACATTAAAACATTTAAATAGCCAATACAATTTCCCGAAAGTTGAAGAGAAACAAAACATTTCGTCATTGTTAATAATGAGTAATTCTTTCTAGGTTAAAAAAAATAATAAAACAAAATCAGATAAACTCATTTTATAGGACTGCATTTATTTCAAATAAAATTACTATCTTAGGAAATCAGGGATATAACACATTCAGTCTTAAAATTTAATTTTAATTTATCAATAATCACAAAATGAAAAGAAGTAAAATAATGAATTTACTGATACATGAGTTAGTTTAGATGTAAAAAGTTGAACTCACTATTACAATATTCTTAAATCCTGTGTTTCTTTGGAGGGGCGACTGCATGAATATTAGATTTGTCTTGAAAAACTAGAGGCGTGCAAGTGTCATTCTTTTTGTTCCTCACTTCAGTGTTTTCAGCTAAGTATTACTATCTTCTAGAAATCACTTTATTCGAAATTCTATGGGTACCACTGTTGCCATTTATCAATCTTCATGAAAGTGATGTGTTATTTCTCTCATATTAAACTTCAAAAGTTAATGAAGCAATCGGCAGCATGAAAAGCGTCTAGTCCGTCATCTTCATTCGGGTCAACAGCCATCACCTTTTTGGTTTGGGAATCATCAACCAACTGCCATTTCCAAATTTTGTTGGGGTAAATAAATTTCTTCTTGAAGAGTTCTTGATTTTTCCAAAATTTCATGAAACTGTGCTCACCTACGGAGTCGTCGACATTGGTGTTATTGGTTTGCTTGGTTTCGGTTTCTTGAATTTTTTTTAGAATAGTAGGAATAGGTCTCAACACAAGAAAACACATAAATCGAAACATGTTTTCGTCGGCTACTACGATAGAAGCAAGAATACTTGGACGGCGATTGCACGACTAGCTATCTCAAACCGATGCCTTTCTTTATATATTCCATCTACAATCCCCACCATTTTAGCAAGCACGACCAATAAGAAGGTAGTTTCAGATAACAAGCCTAGAAACCTTTGGAAGATCAGATAACAAATTAATCTGTACTTACTCATATTACCGATGTTTTCTACTTTGCACTTATCAAAAGTTAGTCATTAGGATCCAAACAATAGTCTTTAGTCATATTGTCTAAACAATACTCGTAGTCATTAGTATCTCCACAATGCTCTTTAGTCATAGTGTTTAAATCATCTCTATTCTTTCAATCTACTATGATTTTGTTGATTAAATTTTTTTGTTTTTTTTTTGTTAGACAATGTGGCAATTAGGAAACGCATTCCTATTAATTTATTGTAAAAATCTGAATAGTTGTTACTGTTAGGTATAGTTCTTAAAATATGCCCTTGTTTGTTTAGTTGATACCAGTAGAAAAAAATGCATTAATTATTTAAGTTGATGATGTTGAGATTACTTGAATTCCAACCTAATTATTTGATTAACTGAATTCTTAAAGATTCCTTACTGAATCAACATATTGGTTGATTCTATTTACACGGAGGTCAATCAACATATTGTAGAGGTCAATAAAATAGTTAGCCGTGATATTATTTGTGAAAAAATGTTTTGGTTAATAGTTGAAAAATTCTGGCCTGATGGTAGAACCACGGAATTTTCATTGTACATTCCGTTAAGAGCTTATTTAACCAATAATTTGCCAGCACTATGTTCTTAAGCATTGAGTGAGGTCTGAGGAAGTTTAAACGACTAAAGTTAGAAATCTACTTTTACAGAAAATCCAAAATAATTTAACATTTTAAATCAACTCAAATTTCATTAAAAAGTATTTCGATCGTCAAGTATGATTTACGAGGCTCACGGCAGTCTAGTTTAATGGTCCTCTAAGGCGGTGTCAAATGATGGCATAAAAATATGCCTGAATGTTCACAGCAGCATTCATAGCAAAACCTCGAATGGTTCCGCAAGTGTGATGTGAATGGTTCACGCAATGTAAGACGAATGTTGTATTTTTATATGTATAATCGTTACTGATTTATATGAAAATCAAACGTTTATTATAATTAAACTACAACTTATTATTATAAGTAAATAGATCCTCGTTTTGTCAGTGCTGTAATAATTAATTAATAATTATTATATATACTTTGTTATCAAAATTTTTGAAAACGATAAATACTTTTACCACAAAATCATGTAATAATTATTATATTTGATTTATAATTTTAAAATTATGTCTAATTTATAAATAAAAAACCTGGTGCGCATCACGACTTTAACTTACCGCTCAACTTGAATAGAAATTATTTTCTGACCATATTGGGCTATTATAAAACTTTTGCATTTTTAAATGAGCTAAAGCTAAAACAATACAGCGAAAAAATCATAAATACTACTAAAATAACAAAAGTCTTATTTATTATATCACCGGTTGATTATGGACTGTACGATTCGTTGATTATGGATTGTACGATCCGTTGTTTATGGATTGTACGACTATTATATTAATATTATTTTCCATTGCAAAGTTTATCATAACGGAATTAAGAGATTTGAATTATCTGTCATAGACAGGTCAAAAGTTGTCACACTAATTGTAAATGGATTCTGTTGAAATATCGCAAAGGTAAAATTTATTATTCACTAATTTAATTTTCTAAAAGGTTACATAATGATTTTTCGGAATAAACGGACGATAGATACCTAATTATTTAAATATATCAGATTTTTTTTTTAAGTTTTTAAACTTATTTAATGAAAAATATTACAATCTATCTCTAGGACATTTTTAATTGAGTTCACAAATCACATTCACACTCTAAGTACAATAAATAAAATAAATTATACAGAAAAATAATATATATACAATAAATAAGAATAAAATAACCTAAAAATAAATAAATAAAAAGAACACATTCACACCTATATACAATATTACAATTTGGCGAGATAACTCCAAACCAGACTTGTCCCTCCAACTGTGGAGGGAAAAGTATGACTCCAGGAGTTCCCTGCACTCCTCTCTCAACCGCGTCACTACTAGACCCAGTGGAGATTGAGCAAGAGTTCTTTAGCCACATACACTCATGTCGTGAGTGGAGAATCTGGCCATTGCCAGAACTCCAATATTTATAACTATCAAAGATCGCGGGGCCACGGCCGTTTTAACCTCCTTGGAGGGGTAGGAACGGAGGACAAGGTATAAGAACTGAGGAAGATGGGTTTTCAGCTTGGAAAGAAGCCCGGCGTTCTATACCCGGTCAAAAGCTTGAGCTATGTCCAGAAATGCACCCGAACAATATTGCTTGCTTTCCAGTGCTGCGGAAATATGATCGACCACTCGGATTCCTTGTTGGACTGTGGAGTGTTGTGAACGAAATCCGAACTGATGGGAAGGAAAATTTTGGGATTCTTTAAAGGGTAGGATTCATTTCAGGAGGATCTTTTCTAAGATTTTTGAGAGAATCGGAAGTAGGCTAATTGGTCTGTAGGACGTTGAGGTTTTGGGAGGTTTGCCTGGTTTCGGAAACAGGATAATAGTGGAATGTTTCCACAAAGAGGAAAGTGGGTGGTTCTTAGGATGGCATTATATAAGTAGGTGAGAAATATAACACCTTTAGGAGGAAGTTGTCGAAGGATTTGAGAGGTAAGGAGGTCGTATCCAGAAGATTTACGGAGAGGAAGTTTTTGTAAGTGATGTTTGACCTCAGAAGGATTAACTGCTTTGGGGGACAAGGAAAGTGGAATGGGTGATAGGTGAATTTCTTCTACTGTTGTGGTATGGGTGAGGATGGATTCCGGATGAGAGGTAAATGTTCTGGAGAGGTCTCTGGTGAATCCTCAGCTTTATCTTCATCAGACGCTGCCCAGGAGCAATCGCTTCGACGGAGGGGATGGGAAATATGATGGGATTTTAGGATTTTATTGGTGATCTTCCATAGGGAATTGTCATGAACAGAGAGGGAAGTAAGGTAGGAGTTGAAGGATTGGAATTTGAAGTTGGCCAATTAGTGCTTTAATTGTTTACTGTAATAATTATAGGAGCGACGATCGATGGGGTGTCTAGTACTTTGCCATAATAATCTGGCGCGGCGTTTGGTATGGATTAGGTCTATGAGATGTTGAGGTAACATATTTTTCTTGGGAGTTCTTGAGAAGTGGTTTGGAGAGGAAGCAGTCCAGATTGCTTGTTGGATAGTGGTGGCGAAAAGGTGTACGGCATTGTCAAGGTCATCTGGGGTTTTTAGGGTTATTCTGAGGTCAATTTTATCGGAAAGGATTTGTGAAAGAATTTCCAGTTAACTGGGCCTCTGATGAAGGACGGTGGAGAAGACTTAGGAATAGGAGATAGAGATAATTGGAGTAATAATGGACTATGATCTGAGGATAGTTCGGCAAGACGGGTAAGGGAATGATTCAGGGGACCAAAGCCACTGTAGATGAAAAAATCAAGGATATCGGGATTGCGGTTAGGGTCTGTGGGCCAGTAGGTAGATGAGTTAGGAGGAAGGATACTGAAACGTTGGGGATTGAGTGTAGATAACAATGTTCTGCCACGAGAGTTCGTGGTTCTAGAACCCCATTGATGGTGTTTGGCGTTTAAATATCCGCCCAGGATGAAATGATGACCTATGGAGTTGAGAAGAGAACTGAACTGTATATTGGATATGGATCTGTTAGATGGGCAATATGCTGATGCTATGGTGACGGAAAAGGAGAAGGTTTTAATTACGATAGCGGTTGATGGTAGGAAATCTTGTATCGGTAATGGGAGCTGGTGATGAGAAAGTGAGTGGTGTACAATAACAGCAGTACCGGCATGTGCTTTACCGTCAGGATGGTCAGTACGGTATGTTATGTATTGAGGTATTTTTAAATGCTGTTTTCGGATCAGTCGTGTCTCCGTAATTAGTGCCACGTCGATGTTCTTGTCCAGTAATAAAGCTGTCAGTTCGTCAGTTTGGTTTCTAACACCATTCGCATTCCAAAGGAGAATGGATATGGGTTTTGGGATGTGAGTCATTTAGGATTTTTTAAAGGAGGGATGAGGTGAGATACGAGATCTATGAGTGGAGTAACTAAGGATTTAAAATCGGATTTTAAGCTTATATAGCAACCCGGGGTGCCATACCCGATCTAAAGCATGTGCTATGTCCAGAAATACACCCGAACTATATTTCTTGTTTTCTAAGGCTGCTGATATATGATCTGAGTCGAAGCCCTTGTTAAACAGAGGAATGTTTTGAGTGAAACCAAACTGATGGGAAGAAATATTTTGGGATTCTATGAGTGGTAAGAGTCGTTTCAAAATGATCTTTTCAAAGATTTTTGAAAGGATTGGGAGTAGGCTAATTGGTCTGTAGGATTTCAAGCTGTTGGGAGGTTTGCCTGGTTTGGAAAAAAGGATAATGGTGGAGTGTTTCCATAATAAAGGAAAGTGGGTGGTACGTGGTATGCAATTGTAGATATATGTAAGGAATATGACTGCTTTGGATGGAAGTTGTCGAAGGATCTGAGGGGTAAGGAGATCATATCCAGGAGATTTACGGGGGATTAGCTTTTGTAATTGAAATTTCACTTTGGAAGGATGAATTGCTTTAGGAGGCAAGGAAAGTGGGATAGATAATGTAAGAAATTCTTCTACTGTTACGTTGTGGGCAGGATACGATTCCGGATGAGGATTAAATGTATTGGAGAGGTATTTGGCGAACTCTTCGGCTTTATCTTCGGCAGATGCTGCCCAGGACCCGTCATCTCGTCGGAGTGGATGGGAAATTTAGTGAGGGTTTAAGATATTCGTTGTGGTTTTCTAAAGAGAATTGTCACGAACAGAGAAGGAGGATAGGTAGGTGTTAAAGGATTGTGATCTGGAGGTGGCTAATTCCAGTTTTAATTTTTTACAGTAATAATTATTGGAGCTCCAGTGTACTGTAGGAAATCGTGTGTAGGTAATGGGAGTAGGTGATGGATAAAATGGGGGTAGGGGAGGGATAATATGTGATACAAGATTGATGAGAATTGATATCAAAGAAGTA